AACAAGGTCAGGTTTATTGGAGCTCAGTTTCAGAGGTTTTGTCCATGGCTGACTTCTTCCACTGCAGGGACTTCTTGATGGAGGAACAAAGCTACTCAGTTCATAGCATTAGAGCAGAAAAATAACACCAGAAAACAAATTCTAGGAACCAGATGTAGATTCCAAGCCATGCATTCATGACCTACTTAGATTCACCTAAAAGTATGCTTTACTAATCCTTAGGTGACTCTCAAACCAATCAAATATAAAATTAAGTTTAATTGTCACAAAGGGCTTTGTCAGAAGATGTGACTATCTAGAGCAAAATCTCCCCCTTGTATACTTGCAATGCCTCCATACTTATGGTTGAGTTTGTAAACATTACACACTTTCAATGCTATTTTTTTACTTTGTACTTTTGGTTAGTTTGATGATTTACCAAATATGGTAACTATGTTTTGGACTCCAGGTTACACACAGTATTAATGCTAAGTCATTTTGTTCTGTTTAAGACAAAATAAATTTTTAGGAGTGTTTAAAAAAACTGAATTTGGAAGTTCTCATTATGATTTTGATTTTGCCACTTAGAAAAATACCTTTTCCTTTCATGGCTTTAGTTTCTTATCCAATAAACAAAGGCTAGATTAAAAGATCTCTGGATTTTTTTCTCACGTGGAGATTTTCTAAGTTTCCAAATTGATACCTCTCAAAATTTAGCATACATCATAATTACCTGAAGAGTTTGCCAAGATTCCTGCATCCTACACTCAAGAGATTCGGGGAACCAGCTGATTTCCATTCCTAACAAGTTCCCAGGACCTGTGATGCTGCTGGTGCTCAAACTGTGCTTCTAGGTGCATTAGCTTAAAAATCTCGAAATTATCTAGCTGCAATTCTGTCTTAAAATACTAGATGATATAATTTTGGATAAAAGTTAGGCAGAAATACTTGAGTAAGGCTAAATGTTTTAAGATATAAAACAATTTTTATCTTTAAAAAAGCATAAAAATATGTGTAGTAGTTGTGTAGAAATGTTTGTGTCCAAAAGCTGTTATTATTGCTTCATATTATTACCTGTATCTTCTTGGTTAAAGAAGCTCTTAGTTGGATAATTAATGTGAATTATAAATTTCATCCATTTTGTTGAATATCTTACATACAAAGCCTTTTGGTTTGTATTTTGGGGGACCCAGAATCTAGGTCTTTCACCTTTCACAAATTCATAATAACTGAAGGATACAGGCTTAAAAACAAACAACTTCTGTAAAACAGCAAATAAAATGTTGAAATGGTTCTTTCAGAAAAAAGAGAATGCAACATACTCCTCATAAATGTAAAGGTGGTTAAGGGAGATAGTAAATCCAATTGGGAGGATGAAGATTAAATAGACTGGGGAACAGATTCTGGTAATATACAAATGCCTGATTTAAGTTCATTGAGAATAATTGAGAAATATATAGAGAATATGCTTAGTCACATATTAGTCATTATACCAGTAATTTCACTTTTAAATCTATTCTATTAACTTTTAAATTCTCTTCACTTTTGGTGTACTTTTATTAACAATATTTTTAAAATTTTTGCATCAAAAGAGAATCAACTAAAAGGCGATTTTCAAGTCAGACACTGGTCAAATCAGGTCCGCCATTGCTATGACTTGGGCTCCATTTAAGTGTGTCTCCAGGGCTCCTGTGTCAGAAGGTTGGCCCTTCCTGTGGTGGCATGAAGGAGCAGTGATGTGAGCTGAGGATACAATTCAGTGACAGAGCACTTGTCTGCCATGCATGAGGCCTTGTAGTAAATCCCCATTACTATGAAAGAAAAAAAGTGGTAGAAGTCTAACTAGGGTCTCATAAGAAGTTAATTAGGTTATTGGGGTTCTGTCCTGGGGAGAAATTAATTCAGTTTTCATAGGACCCTGGTTAGTTCTCAAGAAAAGATTATTTAAAATAGAAGCTCAGTGGCGTAAGCACCTGCCTGGCAAGCCAAGGTCATGAGTTTGATCTCCAGTACCAAAAAAAAAACAAGAATGTTTGAGCCTTAAGTAAAATAAGTAAGACAACTTTGGGTGTTGGAAAGATTCAGAGGGAACAGTGAGTGCCTAGAAGACATGTGTGATAATCATGAAAGCATTTCAGGGGCTGGTAGGAAAGACTAAGTTATAACTCATGGGTAATTCCCAGCAGTCTACTCCACTGCTTGATCGTGGTTCTAGTCAATAAAAATAAAATTTAGTGACAGAAACACTGTTACAGAGATACCTTTAAGCTGTTAGGCTCTGATTTATTTCCTTAAGTAAATGATTTGAAAGTGTGGGCATTTAATAATTACTGGAAACCAACTACTTTAAAACAGTTTTTACAATGTTGGGAGACATTACCTTTTCCTTCTGGTGGCTGGTAGATGTGAGGTCTTTAGTATTCCATATGCTGAATTCTTCTCTTAAATTCAATTCCTGACAAACAATAAGCAGCTCATTTTCATTTATTGATGTTATTCGGTTCTAATGCCGACTCATTCATCCAACCATACAGCGAACCACTGTAGATATGGGAGGCATGATGTGGGACAATGGGAGTGCAAAATGCTACAGGAATTCCTGCTTTCATGTCTTATGTTGTAGCACAAAGATAAACACACACAAATGTGTTAAACAAATCATCCATCTACACTGTAGTAAAGATCAGAAATAAATACAAAGGAAGGAATGGTAATTTTGGGAAAAAGTGACCACGATTTACAATCAGGTGGCCATGCTCAGCATGGTGGTGCACACCTGGAATTCCAGCACTGAGGAGGTTGAGGAAGGAAGATCACAAGTTTGAGGACAGCGTGGCCTACAAATTAAGTTCAGGGCCAGCTTGAACATTATACTGGCAAAAGCCAAACTAACAAGCCACACTCCAATAAACAGGTAGGGTGGCAAGCAGAAGACGGAAAGATGGAATCTGAGCACACATGGAGGCAGCAAGCTGTCACACAAGAGTGCGCTAAAGAAGAAGATACAAAAACCTTAAAGAATATGAGGTTCTGAACTTGCACAGAGTTTTGTAGGAACACAAAGCTAAGTGAACTGTCTGTCAGGTTAGGGAGGTAATGGAGGGAACTAAAACCTATAGTAAAAGGGTTTTTGTTTTTCTCTGTGCCGGGAGGTCATGGGAAACTCTGAATACAGTGGTATGACCTGATTTCCCTTTTCATAGGCATTCTTGGGCTTCTGTGCTAAGAACACAACAGCTCTTGGGTTACTGTACCAATCCAAACAAGCGATGACATAGATTTTAGCAGAGGCAGCAAGTCAGATGCTGGATGTATTTTGAAGGAAGAGCCAACAAGACTGTAAAATTAGTATGAGACAGAGAAAGAGAGGGCACAAATGGGTTTTAATAAGGAAAAATGCAGCAAACTACTGAAAGGAAAAAGCATGTGGGTGTGAAGAAGGACTGAAGCCTAAAAACTTGTCCTATTTTTAAGTTTCCTATCTCTGGTATTTTATCACAGTAACAGAAAGCCAACAGATAGAACATAAATTACTAGAGGAACTCCCCTAAATAGGCACTTGGAATAAATGAACTACAAATATTTTTCCTAAAAGTATTTAGGGATGAGGAAATAAATCTATGTTCTGATACAAGTTCTATCTCAAATTAAGCAAGTCACTTAACCTTGTTTTATCTATTTCCCAATGGATAAGATGAAGAAGATACAGTAGACAAACTCTTACAGTTTCTGCTTAGAATTAAATCCCAGCTTCCGTATGATAGTAACAACAATAGGATCTTCTCATAACTTATCACCAGGTTTAAATGGATGTGTATGCATAAAGCAGTCAGACCAATGACTGGACCATTGGTCATTAATATTAATGTTATCATTTCAAGCTGCAATCTTTTAAATATAAATTAAAATTTGCTATTATTCATTCACAAGTTAGGCAGAAGGATAAAACTGAGTGTTCAAGAAGAGGCCAACATACAAAATTAAACTAAAACTGGAGGACATATCCTTCCCTATTTCTGCAGTCATAGCTGTTAAAAGAACAATTATAACACCTAACTTAAAAAGCATCACTGAAATACATGGCACTCTTTGAGAAATTGGTTTGTATATTGATATATATTAATAAGGACCCTAAAATAAGTTGATTTTAGAGAAACAAAAGAAAATCCACACATTTCTATACATATATAGCACTGAAAATTTTTTTTGCTACTGGGGATCAAATTCACTACTTTGCACTTGCCAGGCAGGCGTTTATGCCGCAGAGCTAAACCCCTGACCAAACACTTTTAATCTTGAATGAAACATTTGAAATCTCAAAATGTGACCCCATTGCAAGAATCTAGTTCAAGAAGTTTTGTGACACATGTTACCTTTTGAGAAAGTGATGCTCTTCTATCCTTTTCGGTTTACTACAAATTATGAAGTTGCTCAGTTCTTGAAAAGGCAGCATACATGCTGAAACGAAATGGACAATTTTGTTAAGAGTTTTGATGTTTAAGATCGGCTGTGCCATCAAAAATAACTAATTCCTTCAACTTTCAGATTTTTATACTGACTCGTTTCTTTCTCCAATTCTATCAAGGTAAATGGACCGAAAAGTACAATAAAATCCACTTTTCCCCAGTGAAACTGCTTAACCATTCGGAAAGTAAAAAAATCGTCACGTCCTGGAGGACTCTGCCTCGTTATCTTTTAATTGCTGTTTTCTCTTAAAAACAACAGGCAGTAAGCCGTCAAGGGCTGCTTAACGCCAAACGCAGCAGTGGGCCCTGGTGCTCCCCGGGAGCGCGTCACAAAGCTGGGATTTCCAGCACCAACCCTTCCGGGTTCTGAGTGCGCCTCACTTGCTGCACCGTGTCTCTCCCTGATACACCTGCCTCGGGACCCTGTCCGTCCGAGGACCAAAAACTTCCAGGCCAGGAACACGAGCTGCTTGTAGCCCAGCAACGGGGCGTAGACGCATGCGCAGTCATCGGCGCACGCGCGGGAGGGTGAGGCACGCAGCGGCCCGCCCCCGAGCGCGGCGGTCACGTGACGGCCGCGCTCGCCCTCGTCGACCGCGGGCTCCGAGGCCGGGGAGAGGAGGGTGCGCGGCGGCGGTGGTCCTGGGTGCTGAGGTGGGCATCGGGCGCAGTCTTGGCAAGGGCCGCTTGAAGCCGGGTGACGTGGAGTACTCGGGGCGGTGGCCTCCCAAGCGGTACCGGTGCGGGGAGAGGCGCCAGTGACCGCGCGGGCGGTGGGGGGGGGGGCGGGCGCGGCCTGGCCGGGCACCGCCGGGCGCAGCTGTCAGGGCCTCGGGGCGCCCTGTAGGGTCCGCGCCACCCGAGACCCGCCCGGGTGCGTCGGCCTTGGCCTGGGCAGCACAGCCCTGAGCGTCCCAAGTCGTGGAGCCCTCGGCTTTCGGTGGTGCCAGCGGCCGGGTCGCGACGCCCTCCGTACGGGCGTCGTCGCCACTGCCTTCCCCAGCGGCGCGGGGGGCGAGGCCGGGATCCCGAGCCCTGGCTGCGGGGCTCCGCACTCTCCGAGTTGACAGCACGCCCTGGCAGTTAGATTCGTTCTTTTTCCTTGATCGTTGTGGTCTGTACCCCCCGCCCCCCGGTGCCATTTTGGGGAGCAGTTAATCCTCAAGTTTTGAACATTTGCGGTTGTATTTTTAACAGTACTGAAGTCCTGTAGGACCAAGAGGAAAAGAAACAGATGATAGAAAAGGCTTTGTTCTTTGAACGACTTGATTGACATTTCAAATGCCAGCCTCCCCCAGCCCTCGAGTCGGACTTTTCAAGTGGGACGTGAAGGTATAATACGGGCCGTGTATGCTTGCACAACTTGGAAGAACATTATAAGGAAGAAATATGTCATTAGTTTTTACAAAAGACATGGCCCGTTTAGACACACGAAGAAAATGACCCACATAAATGACCTGGTTTGTGAGGGCTTTGCGGGTTGTTTTGGGGTGTGTGTGTGTATGTATGCATAGCACTTGGTGTTTGAACTGAGTAATCAGAAAACATGAACATAGGTGAAGTAAGTCTCATTTTAAATACAGCATTGAATGGTTAATGTCACGCAAAAAGTAGATTGTGGATGTGTTTGTTTTAGCCTTGAATGTTTTAAGTGGAGCATTTGAATTTAGAATTTACATCTCAAATGGCCCAATGCAAATTTTACAAGGAATGAAAATACTGGAGCTTCAACGTTTGGCGGTTTTTGTTATTTCCTGATCTTTTAAGTCCGTAGAATTATCAGGGAAAACGTTCTACAAATGGATGATCACTAGATAAGAGAATTTTTAAAAAGAATGTGATATTTTTTTCCTTTTGGCTATGGTACAATGTTTCCACTAGCTTGAATTGTCAAAAGAATTAGATTTTTTTTTTTGCTTAAAGAATCCAGCGTGATTTGTTCAGTTGGAAAAAGCAATTGGTAAAATTAAAATTTCCTTGTCATGGTAATCTGTTTTAAAGAATATATTCTGTGAAACCTATATACTGTACTAGTATGAAGTGTCTTAACTGTGACTTGAGGATTTGAATCCCTCCCCTGCCAAGCGTTAGTAATGGTAGATGCCGAACTTTCCTGTTTCCCTGTCGGGTTGCCTTTGACTAAAGATTCTGAGTTTGTGAAACAACATACTGGATTAGGAACAGTCTTTGTGAGCATAGAAACTAACACTGGACTATATCACTACATGTGCTTGTTTGCAGATTCTATTTCTTGTTTATGGCCTATTACTTTTTGGGTTAATTAAAATAAAACCTATTGTTAAATTACAATTGAACATTTAGACAATGCCTGACAAAGCATTTGGAATTATAGAGGAAGGTGAGGTAACAAAGACAGAATTTGCAACTTGACCAAGGTTACAAATTGTATTAGCCAGAGGTTTTCTTATTTATAGAATTGTTGGCCATGAAACTTATTTGTTTGATGTGACAAAGAGATAGTGTTTGCTCACATTTACATCTCCTATCTTATTGAAATAAAATGCAAAGCCCACTTTGAGGAGTCTGTTCAAGGTTGAATGCTTAAATAAGAGTAAATAAATTGCTATACAGTAATGCTTTTTAAAGAAAGTGATATATAAAAAGGAAAAGAATTCTTTACAAAGTATTTCACCCCATTTAGCTGAAAAGAGTTCTAAGTTTCCTGGTATGAGTTGTGCTTTTTGTAAGCTGAGGTTTTTGTTTTTGTTTTTTTCTTAATTTTATGTTTTTGAGAAAGCTCTTCACAAAATTGCCTGAGCTGGCCTTTAACTTGCAGTCCTCCTGAGTAACTGAAATTACAGGGTACCACTGTCCCTGGTTTGCAAGCTGATTTTTAACGGGTGATGAAGGCTAAAAAGGAATACATTATGTCATTTAGCTACGTTTGGCAAATCTTAAGATATGCCTACTGAATCACATATCATCTCTAATCCTTTTTCTGTAGTGATTTTTTATATTCTTAGTTGTATACCAGACTTTGGAAGGTTTGACGTGTTTTTGCTTTCATTAAGAGCTTTTATGTAGAACATTTTTTGTGTATATTGAACAAATAAAAGTTTAAAACATATTATATGCTAGGTGTTAATAACTGGCAAAGTATACAAAGTCTTGAAATATCTGTAATTTTTATTTGTATTTTTGTTGATTGTGTATGCTCATCTTTGTGATTAGTTCTTTTAAAATAGTATTTGAATCTGTTATCTGGAAGAAAATGAGCTTGTATCTGGCTTGAAAAATAGAATTGAAGTCAGTATTTTTATTTTTATATTTGTTGATGTTAGATGCTTGTCTTTGTGATAGTAGTTCTTTTAAAATGACATTTGAATCTGTTATCAGGAAGAAAAATTGACTTTTTGAGCTTGTGACTATCTTGAAAAGTGTAATGGTAATTAACAGTAGATATTTTCATAGGAAATAACAGTACAGTATATAAGAATATGAATTTAAGTGTTACATGTTTTAAATAGCTTATTTTTTGTTTTCAGTTATATTTATTTATTAATTGGCTGAAGGGATTAAGATTAAAATTCATAAATAATGGCTGAGCCCCTTTACATAATTATAAATTTAATCTCACATTTTTTTCTATAGTTGTTAAGGGACAAAGTAGTATAGTTTCAGGTGTTACGTAATTTTCTTAGCAAATCATTGCATTTAATTTGGTGTATAATTTACGAATCACTGCCGAACAGTTATATGAATATGAATTATTTATGCTGGCAAAATTATTTCCTGCCTTTTTAAGAATTACTTTGTTCTGTCTTCCTCCTTTGGATAAAAGAAAAACATCACTGTATCAACACTTTTAAAAGAGTTCTGGCTTCAGATGATGTGAGCTTTGTAAGGGTTTGTTTACATCACTGTTGTAGGTGCTGTTTCATACCCAGTTAACATTATAATGTATAGCATTTGTAGTTGATGGGTCAGTTTGGCAGAATTAGACCCAACAAAACCTCTCATCTTTGACTAGAACAGGTATACAGTTACTTTGGAGCTGTACAGGTTCAGCAGAGATGTAGATACCTTAACACGGAGTTCATTTTTTTCTAGTGATTCCTGTGATAATTTGCGAGTTTAGACACATGCTGGATCTGTACTACAGCTGGGGTATGGCTCAGTGGTCACAGGCTTCCCTGTCTGGGTGCTAGGTTGCATCCCGAGAGTATCAAATCAAGGGAAATTACACAGCTATGTGCTATTGAGACTTGATATGTGGCTAGTATGAGTTGTGCTAAGTGTTGTGTAAAATATGCACTGGATTTTAGATTATACAACCTTACTAATGTAAAATAATACTAACTTTTATGTTCAATGCATACTAAAATTGTAGAGATATCTTAAATACAATTTTATTTTTTATTAGTCTTAATGTAGCATAGAGATTTGAAAATACATATGTCGGGGCTGGGGGTTTAGCTCAGCGGCATAAGCGCCTGCCTTGCAAGCAGGCAGTCGTGAGTTCGATCCCCGCTACCGATAAAAAGGAAAAAGACAAAAAAAAAAAAAAAAGAAAATACATATGTGGATTGCAACATTTCTGTTAGATAATAATATGCTAGACCATTTCCTTGAGAAACAGTACATTGTAGAAAGGATTTTCTGAAGATATAGTGTACTTGAGTTAGATTACCTCAGAGTAGCAAAAGCTTTGTGACTTTGGGTAAACTGCTAGCCTTTTGAGGTTGGAGTTCCTCCTTTGTAAAATGGATGCAGTCCCATTCCACAGATTGTTTGGAGGATGGGGTGATTGTTTGGAGGATGGGGTGATGCGTGTGCAGTACTCACAAGTTGTCATGTGTAGGGCAGAGATCTGACCTGCTGCTTCAAGAGCGTGGTTTATATGGTGAGGATCTAGATTACTAAAAATATCTCAGTTCATTTGTTTCTCTAGACTTTCTTTATCCATTTAATTTCAACTTTATAAAAATCATCCATAGAATATATAAATGTAAAAAGTCACCATAGCATGCAAGACTAAAAAATTGTATGTCCTGTGAACTTTTAGGGACACATTGTGGAATAGTGTTACTGAATTGCAGGTGAGAAGAGCCGGGTTACATGATTTCCATTTGTGTTTTTGGAAGGATAATGCATAATTCAAAGTGAAGTAATTTTAAGAATACACTAACAAGGAGGGTAGTGATTGTATGTCTTCTTCATATAAGATGCTTTGCTGTTATTTATTGAGTGAATAGACCCCCATTCTTGTGGTTTTTTTTTTTTTTATCTATAAAGGACTTTTTAAAATAACATCATGTTGTTGAAAACTTGCTTGAATCCACTGAAGTCTTCATTTAACAGAACCAGAATGATGAAACTACATCCCCTTCAACCAACTACAATGGTTTAAACCACTTCTGTGCTGATACATGTGTAGCAAAGCTTTTACTTCAGTAACCTGTGGCTTTAGCTGAATTTAAACTCTGTAGTAGTTCTAAAGTAAAATGACAACATTTTAAAGTGGTAGAATATACTATATTTAGAAGATTCCTATGAGTTAGTTTGAAGCTGCTTCTCCTCAACTTTGCCTCAGTTACTTTATCTCCTGTTAAACACCACTGTTTGTTTCAGAAATGGAGTATTTATGGACAAGACTATTCCCTATTCTCTATGGTTTATTTTGAAGTTTGTATATTAGACTTTTTTATCGAAGAGAAACCATGTGCTAGTTAAGCCTGTGTGTGTCTGATTTCCTTCACTTAGGAATATAGTCTCAAGGTAGTGATAAGATTTTTAATTTTGATAAGTCCAATTTGTCTATTAGTTTCTTTCATTCCATTCTCATGTCTTTTTCCAATTTCAAGGTCATGAAGATTTTCCCCTAAGAGTTTTATGATACTTAGTTTATTGATCCACTTCAGTTTATCTCATGGTATAAATGGGAGTCTGATTTCATTCTTTTGCATGTGGAAACCTAATTGTCCCATCATTTATTGAAGAGAGTATTGAATGGACCTGACTTTTTTTGAAAACCTAGTTAGTTCCAGATCTGTGAGTTTATTTCTGGATTCTCAGTTCCATTCCTTTGCTTCACGTGTTTGTCTTTAGGGCAGTAGCATACTGTGTGCTTGTGGCAGCTGTGTAGGACAGTTTGAAGTGAGAGCAGTATGTTTTTCTTCTTTTTTAAGGTTATTTTTGACTTTTGGGGTCCCTTTCACAGTGTGTATGAATTTGAGAGTTGATGTGTCAATTTCTGCGAAAAAGGTTGTTGAGATTTCGATAGGAATTAATCAAATCTATAGATTCTTTTGCATAATATTGATTGTCTAAACATGTTAAATCTTCCAACCTGTGAACACTGGCTGTCTCTTCAGTTGCTTAGCTTTTCATTTTTTCAGTAATATTTTATAGTTTTCAGTGTAAAAGTTTTCTTTAGTTAAGTTGATTCCTCTTTTCTTTTAGATGTTGTTATGAATGGAATAGTTTCCTTGATTTTCCTTTTTGGATTATTGACTACTAGTAGCATATAAAATTGCAACCACGGTTTTTCAGCATTGTTTTGGATGTGGTTTGTACTGTGTGTGAAATTTGTAATCTGAAAATTGCTGATAATAGTAGCTTTCTTTCAAGTTCTTTGGAATTTTCTTTATATAGAGAACAGAGAGACTGTATGAATAGAGACAGTTATTTATTTTTAACTTGTTCCTTGCCAGTTTGTACAATTTTTTTTCCCTTTCCATGGTATTGCTCTGCTAGAACTTTCTGTCGTGTTGAATAGCAGTGGTAAATTAAGCATTCTTGTCTTCCACTATTCATTTTTTACGCTCAAGATAAAATTTGCCCCTGAATTTTGTCAAATATTATACCTAATTGAGTAATTATCTTGATTCTAATTAGTCTGTATAGAGAAGTTAATGTTGAAATTTCTTTCATTTGCAGCACAGAAAATGAACCAGCAGAGGAAGAAAAATGCCACCAGCTAGCTGACTACTGTTGAAGAAGATGCTTTGTCTTTGTGGCGAGTGTCTGTGGGATCTGCAACAGAAATGTAAGTATGGTGTGGATTCTCCAAAGCTATAGTGGATTTGTATAAAATGAAGTAAATCCAATGCCTGTCACCTTTAGTTGTAATTACGAAAAGTATTTTGTATTGACTTCTGCTTGCATTATCAAGTTAGCAATTTTATTCACATTAAATTATCATTGTAAGATTTCCCAAAAAAGTCTCATAAGGAACCTCTGCAAGAAGTGAAACTGAAGACAGGATTTTGCTTTATTGTAGGCTACAACATGGAGTGATCTACAGTGCCTCTGGATTCTGCTTTTTCTTTGCACAGTAATTTACTTAACTAATCAAGTTAGATACAGTAGTATCACTTTTTTAAATAGAGATTTCTGACCTATAAAATTACTGTTACTAGTAACTTGTTTCAGGCTGAAGCCAGTAGCGGATGGTGACACCCAGGCTAAGGGGCCGTGAGCCAGCTGGAGCCCATCACATCCCTCAGCTCGGGCCCCTAATCTCTGACCCGTGTCAGGCCTGAGGCATGAGTGCCTGGTTCGGGAGAAAAGGAGAATTTTGCTGAACCCTTTAGTAGATACACTTAGTATAATACTGAGAGTAACTCTTCTCTAGTTAGAAACTACCTACTCTCTCTGGCTTACTATTACCTTTGGGAGTAATAGAACCTACATGATACGATATTAAAATAAATCAAGTGATTTTAACATTAAATTAAATGATCTTGAATTCTGGGAAGGTGGCAGAACAGTAAGCAGCAGAGTAAAAAGCCTCTCTGAGAGAAGCACCCTAGATGCTGGAATATATTCTGGAGAAGGCCAGAAAGAAAGAAATGGATCCCCTCGACCCAGAAAGAAAATAAAGTAAGACTTGAAGCCCACGGAGAGAATTTGAAAAAAGAAAGAAAATATAAGGAAAACTTGAGGAGAAGGTGGTAGCCAGAGTTAGTTTCACTGGAGCCTGTCCCACTGTGTGAGAAGTGCCACTGGAATCTGTGAAGTAGGTGGCTGGCAAGCCCAGAGGCCTCAGCGGGGAGATACGTTAATTAAAATGAGCATCAGACCGGAGAACTGCGCTGGCTGGCAGTGAGTCTGGGGGACTCAGTCCTCCCATGTGAGTGGTTGATTGGCTGGGCTCCATTTTGGAGTCGGGCATGATAAGCCCGGAATCAGAACTGCAGCCAGCTTCATTTAGTCACTCCTACCATGGAGAAGATTGGTGAAAATTGCCTGGACTGAGTCGTGCCCCTGTGCGCGATCCAATGCCCAAGGCTGAGTTTTCCCTAAAGCTATTCCCTGACCAACCCCACCCACGAAGCACACACTAATGGTGGTGAAGACTCCCTGTGGTTAACCAGCTCTGAAGGAAGGGGCCAGCCTGCCCTGCCTCTGCTTATACTCTAGTAGTCACCAGGAAATTGGGGAAAGCAGCAAACAACACAAATCCCTAGCCAGCACACTTCAGAGTAATTATAACCAATATAGGAAGTGCCAGGGTCCCACTACCCACTTGTCTAGAAGAAACCAAGAACATGACAAGAGGAAGAAACAAAAGGCAGTCTCTGGCCTCCAACCCAAGAGTACTGGTCCAGGAGAGGTAAACAGAAGAGATCGGGAGTCGCACACCTGCAGTTTCTGAAGCAACAGCAACTGACATAAAGAAACAACTTCATGAAACTATGAAAGAACTTAAATAATATTACAAATAAAGGAGGTTATAAGAAAAACAAAGAAATGCTAAGTGCCTCTAAAGAAGACACAGATGGAAGAATAGAGGAGCATAGATAAAGGGGGGAAACCTTCAATGAAGAATATAAAAAATTTTAGAATATATGAAACAGATTCAAAGAGATTACCAGGAAATTAACTCCATTGAAAGCTGGCAAAATTGCTTGAAAGAAGCTAAAGATAGACTGTCAAACCTTGAAGACAGGTTTGCAACTTGTGATCACAAAAGGAAAGATCTCAAAAATAACAACCAGGAAGTAATACAAAGGCTAGAAGATGACAACAGGATCTGTAACTTAAGAATAAAAAAATGAAATACAAAGGCTATTTACGGAAATAATTAAACCTCTTAAGCATAGGAAAAGTAATTGATATTCAGATAATGAGGCATACAGAACTCGAGCCAGCTATAACCAAAATGGATCTATACCAGACATAATAGTCAAGATCTCAGAAATTCAACACAAGAACAGAATATTAAAAGCTTTCAGAGAAAAGAAACAGATCACCTATAAAGGAAAACCCACCAGAATTATGGCAGACTTCTTGACATAAACCATCAAATCAAGAAGAGTTTGCAGTGAAGAATTCTAAGTCCTGAAAGAAGATAACTGCCAACCCAGATTGATGTACCCTGAAAAACTAATTCTCAGAATTAATGGAGAAATAAGATGCTTCCGTGACAAAGAGGAACTGGGGAAGTTCATGACTACAAACCAACCCAACAAAAAATACTGAAGGACATTCTAGAGAGAAAAAAAGACCATGGTTTCAAGAACAGTGACAGACGGGGCTCACTGAATGGGGCAGACAGTGGAATGAAGGGGAAAAGTAGACAATCAGCAGCAGAAAAAGAGCTTGGCAGAGATAAAGCAGAGAAGATTGGCTATAATCACTAATATAGAGGGCCTTGAGATACTAATAAACATAGGCAGAGTGGATCAGGAGAGAAGGTCCATCGAGATGCTTTACATAAGAAATATAATTAACCTGAAAGAGAGTTTATAGACTGAAAGTCAAAGATGAGAAAACAATGCTTTTTGTGACAGAGAACCAGAAAAAAGGGGAGGTAGCTTGCCCATCAGTTGCAGATTTCTGGAAAGACATGACACTTATACAAAGGAGAACTACTCAGCTATAAGGAAGAAAAACCTTGAAGCACTTGTAAGTAAATGGATACAACTTGAAATCGTGCTTATGGATAAAAAGGTTGAGAATCACCTACGTGGATAGTGAGTTGCCTCCTTAATCTAAAAACTAAAGGACTTAGTGGGATACAAAATGTGTAGTGCACCCGGTGAAAGTGAAAGGGGAGGAATTGTCCAAAAAGGGAAGGCAGAGGACATTGTTAATCTTGCATCAAGATTTGAAACCCATATTGTTTTCATTGCTCTGTTTAATTTGGTTATATTCTGTCCCAGTTTGTCTACTTGTACTAGATTTGATGGCATGGACAGCTACTCCAAAGATTGTAAGATATACTGTGGTAACCATTTTTGATTTCCTGTTGACTTGCTTTGAAGCCTTGTACTGCTTTTACTGTCTTGCTTTTACTGATTTTATTTGAATCTCTTTTACCTGATCAATGTCTTGTTTTGACTGATTTTTTCCGATAGTTTGACATTAAGTCTAAGAGTATAGGCAACTACATTGAAGACAGTAGGATTCACTATGATACCCATTTTGACTAATCTGGTTTGACTAATATCTTTTGAAGTTCTATGTCTCCAATGTTTCATTTTTGTTGATGTTATTCTGTACTGTTTTGTTCAATTTTAATTTCTCAAAACTTACTGCTTTGTTTTCATTTTTGATTCACTCTGATTTAGTATTACTAGTTGTATTTTCTTATCATTTAGTCTTTGTGTAATGTGCTTTAAAGTGTTAGATGACCATGAGTTTCCTTGTACTGAATTATTGATGAAATATTACCCACAATGAACATTATAATTCTGTCTTCCAATTTGATGAACATTATCCAGCTTCATGTCACTCATAAAGAATGCAACAGTTTAATTCTGGGGATTAGGCTTTGCATTATTGGACCAGCATCACCTGTATAGATATGTTTCAGTTTCTCTGAGTTTGATATATGACTCTAATTTTTGGTATGATAAAAGTGTGACTATATCAGTCTTATTTTGGTGTCACCATTTGGCTGGAAGTTCTTTTGCTCAATTTATATGAAAATCATGAATTGGGAGGAACCTCCCTTGATGAGCTCTGGGATTTTGAGTGCCAGCGACTCTCAGTCCTTACTGTTAGAGCTCTGAGCTCCAAGTGCTAGTGCCTCTCTTGGTGTCACTGCTTTTGGACGCTTCCTGCTGCCCCTGTGAGCTCCTCAGTTTGTCCTCCATTAGGAGCTTTCTGGTGCCCTCTCTGCAGGTTTCTCTCTTGGCCCCCTCTGCTTGGCTCAGCTGCTCTGTCACTAACACCCTCAAGCTGTTAGTGACTGTCGAGGCTAGTAGTCCTTAATCTTACCAACTCTTAGGGGAACCCACCCTGTGTAGTAAAATCACTAACAGGGCTTTCTTGGGGCCTCTGTTGCACAGAGGGACAGAGCACAGTAGGGAGCTCGCCTGTACTGACCCAAGAAGTATGAAGGGTACTGCTTAAGTAGAGAAGGATCAGCGTGGCCATGTGCAGACTATTCTGGCACGTTGGAAGTAGTGGCAGAGTGGTGGGCCATCCACAGTGTGTGCAGGATGGACTGATCTGGGATAGGGCCATGTCTACAATCTGCAGTAGCCTAGGTCCATATCTGCTGCAGTGGCCGTGGTGCTCCTAGCGTAGCCTTCGCTGTCTTGGTGACAGCAGACCTGCTGCAGCAGAACTGGTCACCGCAGGTTCAGTCCTTACTGTTGCCACTGCCAGGGAGTTTTGAGGAGGTTGGCAGTGTTGATCAGAGCCCCGTACAGTTTTGGAAGATCAGGGATGACAGCCATGGGCCGTGGTCTGTCTGCAGTCTTTATCTTGTCAAGCATCATACTCCTCAAGGCAGAATAGAACCTGGGTGGCTCAGAGCAGGCAAGTGACAGTGGAGGCTCTTGTTTGAGTTGTGGCTTCTCTAGGGCTGCGGAAGTGAGAGGTGACTGAGAGTAGCTGCTTCTAGAAAGTTGTCTGTGGTCCCCTCTAGGCCAAGCAGGGGCTGCAAGGGGGAGGAGTGTGATGGCTGTCGTGAGGTCCTGCCTGGTATTACATAGGCCCAGGGAAGACTGGGGCTTCTTCTAGCTCACTGCAACCCGAATCCGAGCAAATACATCTTCCATTTACTCTTGGATATTATTTATCTGCTTCCCA